GGTCGCGGGCGGCGGGTTCCTGGAGCCGCACCAGATGCAAAGCGAAGGGCTGGCCTGGTAGTACGAGTTTTAAGTAACGTCCCTTATAATAATTCCGCCCGCGCGCCCCAAAAACGCGAACGGAATCGCGGAAAGCGCTGAGCGACGAGACGCGCAAATGGCAACGACGAGCGATTCCGAGAGGGAAGGGGCGACGGAAGGCTTCGTTGCTTTCCTTCCCGTTAACGCGTTCTCGTTTCTCTTTGTTTCGTTTTTTTTTTCGACCCCCTGACTTTCTTCGCAATAATCGCATTCCCCACTCCCGATGCGACGATCCGCGAGTCCACTCGTCACTTCTGTAAGATACAGATTGTAATGCGTGCGAGAGAAGTGCGCGCGTTCGCTTGTTCGGTTAATCGTTGTCGAGGAGTCGACAGCGCCATTAGCTTTTTATTGTCACACGCGTCTCGGCACCGCGACGCCGACGTTAATATTTTCATTATTATTATTATTATTAATATTATTATTATTAATTATTATATATTATTGTGTATAAAATTTTCGAAGGTCCCTGTCGTGTAATATTGTACCCTCCCTGTTGATTATTTCGCGACGTTACTTTGGAGACACCCTGTAGATATCTGCTGTTGTACACACCTTGATAAGGACGACACACACGTACGCACACGAGAGAGTCAGTTGAAAACTTACATGTACACAGAAGAGAGACACATACACGCAACGTCACACGCGCGCGCACACGTGCATCACGTGCGTACATACACACACGGATCCATACACACACACACACACACATACTTGGACACGCTGTATACTAATATTATCATTAAAATATAAATATAAATAGAAACCATGTAATTTGTATCTGTTAAGGCGGCGAGATCGATGTAAATACACACGAGAAATACACACAGAAAGAAATCACTCTGTCTTATATCTTCTCTCTTTGCTGAAAAAAAAAAAAGGAAAGCTGAACCGAAAACGCGGAAACATGGCTGAACTTTCTCATCGAGGGCCACACCGGAAGTGAGATGCATGTGTGTCGCGTGCACACACACAGCACACGAGGCAAGATTGAGAAAGAATATATATATATATATATATATATATATATAATATATATATATATATATAATAACGATTATAAATATTATTATAATAAACCACCTCGTATTTCCGTACACAGAGCCTTTGCATTTCATTTCCTTCCGATCGCAGTGAGGTTTTTTTCTATCTCAGCTGAACGAGAGACGGAAAATCAATAAAGGACGATTTATATCTCTATCAACAAAGTATTATTGATAGTTTTTTTTTTTTTTTGAAGAAAAATCACTCACAAAATTGTTTGGCAAAAACATTTATATCACACGAATGTGTAAATTAAAATGTTGTCTACTCAAATTGAGATACTAATTTGTTTGATTAGTTGCAATTTACTCTGTGTTCTTAAAATAATTAAATGATTGATTCTTGCAAAAACAGCATAAATTTTTAACAGCACGTCAAATTATATACATATACAAAATGATTGCGCAACCGCAATTCTTCATACTGTTTTTGCATCGTCATTTTTTTTCTTTTTTGAAGTTGTATCGAGTTTTTGTTACTACAGCACAACTGATCGATCAAGATTACGACGTGTGTGTGACGGATCTTTGAGTTAATGAGAGGAATTACATGCGTGTGTATATATATATATATCAACACGATCGGGTAAAAGATAACAATCAAGCGATCGTTAAGAAAAAACTCATCTCAATAACGGAAGTTAAGAGAAGGTAAGTGAGCATTCATTATGTTTTTTCTTATTAGCGCGTGTCTCTGATTTCCGTATTTGTATCGCCGCCGACTCGAGATCGTTCAACTTGTTACATTGATTTCAAATGACATCAGTCTAATGAATAGAGAGAGTCACGATGTGTGTTTTTCGATTCGACGCGCAACGATAAGTCGTAGATCGAGAAAATCGCCGGACGATCTGTATTGTAGAAAAACGTTAAATCACACGTGCGCGTGTCTTTGACAAGATGAGAGGAAATCGAGTGGTCGCCACGATATGAGGCGATCAAAGACGGTCAAACGCACAACTTGAAAGAACAAAAATAAAAACAAAGCGGAAGTAAACAGAACAGAAAATGATAAAATTATATAATCGAAAAATACATACAACGTGAAATATTATTCAACAAATTTTCCGCGAAAATTCTGTTTTAATGCGTGAAATAAAATCAATTCTCCGAGGTGTGCAGTTTGCAAATTATGTCAGATATATCTCGCGTTATTTTATATACGCGTATGGTGTGTGTACCGCGCTTTGGGGGTAGCTTTCGCGTGCAGTTGTCGCGTTTATACGCCGCCAATCAAGTATGCCGCATTACGTTACACCGCGCGTTACGCCGCGCGTTTAAATGTACACGTCGCGTCGTCGGGCAGTTTGCTTTTTTCGTGCGTCAAAAAGCACGTTGGACTTATTCAAAAGGCAATCCCGGCTAAATACCAGAATGACGTGAGCGAAAAAATTCAAAGCGAAAAGCAGGTAGTAATATACACGCTTGCAGGTAGCGATACACACACATACACTGCGCTCACACTGCGTGATGACGTAACAGAATTACGCCAACGTCCCGCTCGGCGCAAATCCATCTCGCCGGTGGAAATTTCGTGAAAATCTCGTTGTGAACGACGCGCGTGTCCCGGCATTTCTTATTCCATATTGTGATTTATACAGTATTAAAAATAATACTGTTATAAAAACTTGACTTGCGTAAGTGATTCATACACACACATTTGCAACAACATTTTTAGAGTAAGTTATTTATTTATTTTTTTTTCCCCGAAACTGCAATCACGGGGTAATTAAATCTCATAGTCATCAACGGGACGTAATCATTAATTACGTTAACGGTTCAATTACCGTCGCGATTACTATCGTCATCTTAATTTATCGGTTGCTTTCATCTTTATCATTTTCTCGTCTTTTTTTTCTTCTGTCCAAGAGAGAGATATATATATTTCTTGTCGGAGGGTGGACCTCAGGTGGCCCGAATCCTTTTCCTTCCCCAAATCGTCGGTTGTAAACGCATCTGCGTCGCCCTGACGTCGTTAGCGAGTGCGACGTCGTCGTATCGAGAAAAGGAAAAGGGGAAGAGCGAGCTACGGCGGTCTGTATGGACATCTGGTGAATTCGATTTTGATGTGTTTCTGCGGCACCCCCCGGGGGTCGATCGGACGTCCTTCGCGTCGTGTCCTCCTCGTGTCACGGCTCCGCTGGGGCCACCAACGACGCCACCGCCTGTACATCCCCCATGTGTTTCGCGTATACACCGTGTGTACACAAGCAGCTTTCCACCCCCTGGCGCTTGTTGCAAGTGCACTCGCTAAGTGTGTGTACAGAGTCGATGGTCCCGCGTCGCAGTTTACGACGAAACAAAGTTTCCTCGAGAGGAGAGGCGGTGACAGAAATTTCATTAAGAATATATACATACATATACCACCCTCTACCGAAACTGGTGTTCTATTTATTTCGACGCGTGCGAATCAATGCGCGCGAAAATGACTCGTATCGCTCAATATTAGAAGAAAAACAACTAGATTTTTTATACATCGCACGCGAAATATTACTCTGTCATGTTAAATTATCAACTTCGTTTGTTTCTCTGACATGATAACTTCGACGGAATTGAAGTTTATTTTGCGCACGCATTTCCGAATGTTCCGAGTTATTACGAGAGATGTTTTTTTTTGCTTTTTTATTTACATTATTTTTCAATCCAATCGAGCATGCCTCACTTTTTTTTTTTTCGAATTCCCGTTACGTAGACGTCGTAGTTCGGTAAAATTTCCTTGGCGATGCACACGCGTGCGAAATAATTTGACGTTATTAAAAGCGCTTCGGGATCCACCCTGGAGAATTCCAACCCCTTCTCGCGTCCATGTGGCGAGAGTTTGACGTGTAATTTAGCCGGATAGTTACCCGCGCGCGCACATACGATATGTTGTAACGCGCGTTGTAACGACGTCGACGTAGGCGTCGGCCTTCCGTGTAATGTGTGTGTCCTGCGCGGTGGAGCCTCCTGCGGGATACACATCCCGGGAGATTCGACAGATGCGCGGCCCGCCTCCGCGCCCCAGGAACTGCCACGGGCTCCCGTGGGAGTCCTGCAGAGACAAACCGTCCCGAGGGGAGTCGCATCCCTCTCAGTTCTCCGTATCCTCGTATTCTTTTATTACCCTCGTTTACGCGGAGAGAGTAAGAAAACTAGGAGTATCGGTACGAACATTCTTCACGCGCTTATCACGCGTAACACAGATAAGAAACCCGATATTAAACTTTGCGCATAATACCGTCTCGTGATTAATGGGAAATTTATTTCCGTAACATCTGTGTTACGAATATGTAAAATAATTGTCGGCGGAGAAACAGTTACGGTCGAGACAAAATTTATTTGACAAAACACAATAACGAAAAAAAAACTTGTCTATCTATCTGACGAGGAACAGTTTAAACATATATTTCATTTGAAATACCTATGCGCGCAAGTGCGGCATGTCCCCTCTTCTCCACTTCGAAAACTTCCAATCGACCGCGCGAAAAAATTTATTTTTCTTTTGTTAATATTTAAAGTAAAACTGCATGCGGTTGTTTTCAGCGTCAAACAATACAATGCATAGATAACTTGAAAGCAATGAATAAAAAGGAACTTCTGAAACCCTTTTTGTAACCCGACACAAAAACAATTATTAAATATATTAAAGTTACGTTAAATATTATTCTATGTTATAAAAAATTGATATATTTGAAGATGCCGAATAATTTTTGCATACTTCCTCGAGCTGCGCGACGTAAACTTTACTTTATCGATATGCCATATCGGTAATATCGATATATATATTTATCGATTCGTATCTATCCGGGACGAAGAGACGTGTGTTGTTCGGACAGACATGTAGAACAGGAACGACACAAAGAGGGGTTTCGAAAGGGTGGTAGCTCCAGGGCCAAGGGCCGCCGACGTGTCACAGTCCAACGCGCTTCGACGACTCGCTCACGTGTCCGCGCACGTGTCGCGAAACAAGGTCCCCTCGTCTTCGTTATCGTTACGCAAGGAGGCCTTACAAATCACGCCCTGCTTACCGTACGCGCGCGCGCGCGCGCGCGCTGTCACAGGCTCGAATTAACGTGACAGAGCCTCGAATTAATCCCCGCGGATCACCCCCAAAGCGGCGACGGTCGCGCGAGAAATACTGTTCTTCAAGTTCTTCCCCGAAACGTATGCTTTGAGGTACCGAGATTCGTATCTGGGAAGCCGCTCTTCTTTCCTCTCGATCGATTGTGTCTCCCCTGTCGCTTTCAATTGTTCAGTTTTAAAGTGGAACAAGCTCACTTCCGAACTTTGATCACGGCGCTGCGAAAACTTTGCTGCTGGCACGGAACTCGCTTTCGGAAAAGCAGAGACTTCTCGTCGAATCTCACGAAAGTAAAAACGATCTTGCTGAATCGAGAACCGCTTTTCTTCAAGCAATTTGCTTCTCTCTTCGTAACTCTGCGCGATCGTTGACGCGTCGATCAAAAATTTTTGTCTCTTTGTAATAAACGTAAAAGTCTTTTGGCGAAATAGAGAGAGAAAGAGAGAGAAAGAAGTTTTTAGCTCCGCGACTCATTTGTTCTGTACTTTCCAAACTCCTACGACGTATCCTACGATGTATTCTCTCTAGAAAAGGAAGCCAAGCAAATCTACATTTCGAGCGACATGTAACACGCGACGGATTCAGCGATCGTACGCTCGCGATAGCGAGCCGTCCACTTTCGTTCCTCCAATAACCGTCGTACGTCCCACGCGCGTAAAAGTCGCCCGAGCGTTTTTCTTCGGGGAGAAAAGACGGCGAGGAGTGAAGAGGGGGAAAGAGGGGGTGAAGAAGGGAGGAGAAAAGAATCCTCACAAAATTCGGCCGACGTGGGACGTTTATAACCGGACAATGGAGACGTCGAGTGGCGACGTTGTCGGCGTTGGATGTGTGGCGAATGCGGCGAAAAAGATGAGAAACGTGTCTGACGCGCGATGCTCGCGCGCGCCTCTGCATTTCCGTCGCTCTCCCTCGAAGCGAACAGAAAGCGAACTAGAAGTCCGCTCCGTCGAGACCTCCTGGCGTTTCCTCGGGCTTAGGCTAATCCGAAATCCGGATTACCTGCGCGTTCCACAACGTCGCGCGGGAGTCCTTCTGTTTTGCAGACGCGCGCGACAGAACGTTCGCCTTCTTCTTTCTTTATTCCGCGGCATTAAGTTGCCGCGCACACGCTCTTCCACCGTGTGACGTTCTCGAAACGCGAAAGCGAACGTGCCTTTCTTTATACACGGGTTATACCTGTCTCTCTCTCCGCGGAGACCCGGTGCTGTACAGACGTAGGACAAAGCCGTTCCCCGAGCGCGTACTCGCCGGTTCGGTGTTCGCTGTCTGTCGGTTTCTCGTCTTACAGGCGACGTCGAGG